TGATTCGTAAATAATTAGTTTTGATAATTTGTTTTATTTAAAACTAATTAAATATTAATTACACAAATTTGCAAATTGTTGAACAGAGTGAAATTAAAAGTATAGTTCCTTTTTTTGAGTGCATGAGTGGAAGTTATAGCGATCTGCGTTAATTAATTATAGAGACAATTAACTCATTAAGTTTAACTTCATTAAAATTGCAGAACTTAATTATAATTTAATCATCTTAATTGAATAATAATTAAGAACATAATTAATGAAATTTAAATTGAAAGAAGCAAAAGTGATGAATTAATGATATTCTATTAATAGATAGATATGTCAACAAGTTTTTTTATTAAAAATCAAACGATAGATTGAAGAGATTGTTTTTTTTGTCAAAAAAAAGCTTTTCATAAATTAGAATGTAATTTTGGATATCAGCTGCATTTCAAATAAATATTAGAAATTTATTAATAGAACAATATTAAGTATTGAAATTTGGATGAACACATAAATTATTAATATTTCATCGAATTTTCGTATAAGAAAAGTAACATTTAAAGTATCAAATAAGTGTGTTAATTGAACGTAGTTAATCTATGTCAAGTAGTTTATATTATTTCACTAGAAAACTTTATTACAAATATATTTGTGGAAAAATATTGTAAGGATTTATAAACCGTAAAAGTTTCATATATTAATAACAAATAAAAAAAAATAATTGTTAATATTTTTTTCAATTTACACAGCAAGTGCATTTGTTAACAAAACTTTCACAGCAAATTAACAAAAAAAACTCTAGAAAAATGTGCGAACATAAAAGTCAAGTACGGCTTTAGGTCAATTGGTTAAGGTGCGCTGACACTGAGCTTCAAATTTGACAGGGCACGAGTTCGATTTCTGGTACTTGCAGTTTAAAAAAATTTATTTGCAAATAATTAAATATTATTAAATAAATTAAATATTATAAGAATTATTTTCAAGAGCACTGATGATGAGTATTTGGTAATACTCGAAACAGCTGTATGCTCAGGTCAGTCAAAAATTCAATTAATTAAAATAATATAAAAATGAATTTTGTTGTTTTAGTTTACTACTTTTCGGAAACCTCTTTATTATTTTTTTTTTAATTACGTATTTACATTATTACATAATAATTGTATTAACAATTTTAATAGTAATTAATTTGAAGGTGTAGGAAAATAATTCTAATCGTACTTTCAAAAGAGCTTAAAGGGTCTATTTGAAATCAATAAAAATAAAACAGTATTTTTAATAAGAAAATTGTTTAGAATTGCAATCACAGAAATAAAAAACTCAGACTTGTTGAGATATAAAGGAATTCTTTAAATGGGCAAACACATTATACAAGTTTTCATTAATTGAACTATTATATCTGTTTAATTTTCGAATGATCTTCCATTTACTATATGTGATTTATAATGATAAGAAAAATACTTGAAATGCAAGCATTTCGATTGATTCGTTAAATAATAAGTTTAAAAATTAAGTAAGATAAGCTTGTTCCCATAGAGCAAGACATAGTTCTCTTGAAGGATTACACATACCTGTAAAGAGGCTAGTAAATAGTAACAATGCAATAATGAACAGTCATCTAAGATAATGAAGTCACAGTAAATAATAACCACTGATATATTTGAATCATCCTTAACTTGATACCTTGGGGAATATCTTAACTGACAGTTATATGAAAAAACAAATCTACAGCAAATCTACAGAGTTAAATAGAAAGTGGTAAATTTGTAAGTCTCCTCGTTTTTTACTCAAATATTTAATCTAAATATGTCTTTTGATTAAAAAAAATTTGTAATGAAATATTTAAAATTTAGAGAATTTTCCTATAATTTTCTGGGATTTAAAGATATTTATTCTACAACTTCAAGTCCTAGAATAAAATCAAGATATTTCAAATAGTTTTTGATGAATTTGGGGCATAAAATACTTTAAAAGATATATTTTATGAGGTGAATGACGGTTATCTCCCCAATAAGTGAAATATAGTTAAACGAATGAAAATACTTATCTGATGAACGGGCAACATGGTTTGATGTGTTCAAAAAGAGTATATTTTTTTTGAATGATTCTGTCAAATATTTATATTTAAGAAAGAGAACAAATTATGCATTATAATATAAGACTGTAGTTATTGACATTGACGAATAATAATTAAAAGAAACTACATTTTAAGTCCCGAATGAAGCCCAAGCACTATACACTAACAGACCTTTTGTAATCAAATTGATTCCTTACAGGAAAATAGCATTCTGTCTGTTTATAAGTGATCAGAAAATTTTCTATAGAAAAGTTTCTGAATACTATCCTCGTGACACAAAGCCTAGTTGAATATTCAAGCAGAAAATGACATATGGTTACTTAAAGCTGAACCAAGGGCTCAATTGCTTGGTTTTTAATTAGTGAAGACCATTAAAATTAGTTTCTTTTTAACTTTACTACCTTGACAGGTGTTTTAGATGCTTAGTCAAAATGCAATTCGTTTACAAGGAAAACAAATAAACAAGATGAAAACTTAAGTTTGGCTTCGCCATAGCTCGAATACCCTTCCTACAGATAATTATGTAAGTAATTAGCCATTTATTTACTAAATGTTTTTAGCTTTATTTGCACAATTATGGTTTGACTTTAAATGCAGTGCACGAAAATTTAAAATTACTTGTTAATAGTTCTTTATTGGGATGCTACATAATCAGGTTCATAAATATTACATATTCAAAATTGCTCTATCTGGCTACACAAGAAGCGTATTACTGATAGCGAATCTGAGAGACAGACAGATAGGTATCACTTAATCGATTAGTATCGTGTTGCTGATCATTTTTCTTGTCTCCAACATCTGCGTGAATCAAAAATAATAACCTATTTTAAAATTCCCTTTGATTTGTTCCAGTTTATTAGCGATTAAATTATCTATAAACAAGGAAACAGAGAGACGGGTGGAAAGACAGATAAATGTACATCGCCAAATAGATTTGTTGTTTCATGTTGATTTGGGATATAAATAATTTAGAATATCTGGCTGAACTCAAAAAATGTTCAAAGAATTCACGAGTACCAGATATATAGAAAGAGTTTTTTATTTCATAAGAAGGCTGCGTTCACGAAATTATATGTCTGAATTGGTTCTTGTGAAAATATATTAAGTTGAAAATTACAATAATAGTTTAATAACTCTGCAGCAAAATGGAATGATACCTGAATTTCATTCTCCCTTGAATGGCATTCTAATGGATCTTGTCAGTCTAGCCACCCTAGCACCTCTTTGTTGTACTCTATGATATAAGACATTGACAGTTTGGATTGCAGGATGTAGTACACATGTAAAGCTCTTAATAAAGTATTATGGATTCATTTTCTTTTCAACTTATGATAAGTCATTTCTTGACAGCGGATAGAAAAAGTACGTAACATTATCCCTTAAATGAAATCCTAAAACAATTTGTAGACTTGGTCACCCTTGTAGCAGATTGAAGGATTGTAGAAGGAGATTCAATGTAAATATCCTGTTGAATTAGTATCGGTATCACTGTTGTACAGTAAATTCGTATGAATGAACGAAAATCGAATGCTCCAAATTTTCATCGAGCAATGCTTATAGAGAAGAATAGAGACTTGTTATACAATGGGTTTGGTTGAATCTATTAAATAGGAGATTCATTTCTATAAGACAACATTTTTTTTTATTTATTTTTTTTGATACATTCGTATGTATACTAAACAATATAATAAATTTTTGTATAAAAATATTTAATTTCATTTTTTTATGATTAAAATTACTTGTAACATAAACTCAATAGTATTTGTACGCATATGGAGTTAAGCAAACCACTCAACCACTTAAACTAACCACTTAATTTTGAAGAAAAGGTTTTATAATTTTGCATAGAGACATTATTAGCATGTAATGCTTACAGTCTGTCCTATAAAAATAACTTTTACAAAAAATACTACAATCATTTAACCGAACTCTTCATCCACCACTAACCTTTTTACTGTGCAATCAACCAAGACAGAACTTCGCTACGGGAAATTTCCTCCTTAATGGTTAGTAACTATGTCACAAGTGAACTTCAATATATGTGAATATATGTCTACTTCTTTAATATAAAACAAGAGGAAAAATTTATACAAATTACTATTCTCATTGAAAGACCCAACGCCCCAATTTAAAGTAATCCTTATGAATTATTACTTTTTAATTAAATATATACAGTAGAATTTTGTTTATGTCTTCAACTTATTAAATACTTTTACTTTAAGACGAAATATTAGAAAAAACACAATTCAGACCACAAATTTTGGCTGCATCACTTGGATAATTTCGCAAACCCACGACGCACTATGGGCGACCGCTTGCCCTAATATTTCTCACAAAATATTATCGAACATTGTTCATCTATTATCTATCATTTATCATCGCCAAGTTGAAATAGTCATTAATTGCATGGTTTGCGCACATGTATAGGTTTAGGAAGAATAGTGAAAAAATTAAATAAAAAAATAAACATATTTAAGAAAATAGAAATTAAGAGGTGAAAATTGTAGTTACAGTTCTTGGTAAAGTCAAATTAATTCGTTAACTTCGTCTCGCCTCTTTTCTCAGCAAATGTTATTGTTTTTTTTTTGCACTGTAGATTTCTGCGGAGAACAGATAAAATGTAACGATTTGTGTTTTGGCAGTAATAATTACTGGCAACGGGGCCCTATGTGCCACTTGAAAGGTGAAAGAGACGAAAAAAGAAGCGGCAGCAGCGAGAATTGGGTTTCATTGTTCAATTTCGTACAGCATTTGCCGTTTGCTAAATTTTCGTTCTTCTTTGTAGTTAAAAAAAACGCTTTATTTGAAAGTACGTCTCCTAATATGAATCTTTCACATTTTGGTTGTCTTCAACCAAATGAACATTAGTACACCAGAAAGCAAAATAAACAAAATGTTTACGCAGCATCTAAAAATGCCGTCATTTTTAGATCACAGAACTTACCATATTTACCGGAAGTCCTTTTCGTTGCGTTGACTTTATGAGGCGCCTTGATTTTGTTGTCATTTTTTTCATTCGTCTCTGATTCAGGGTCTGTTAAATTTCTCATAAAATGTGCTGGATCATAAACTTTGTTGGTATTCAGTGATCGCGTGCGAATGACTCCTTTAGCTACTGGATCATATTCTGATGTCACGCATTGAATTTTCCGGTGAAGTAACAGCAATTGTGTGACAATAACTAATGCTCTTATGTTTAACACTTTGCTATATTCACAAATTAGCATATTTAAATTTATATTAAATTTCAATTTACTTCAAAATCAATAGAATATTTTTCCGGTAAAACACAGAGAACTTTTTTCTAATATAAAAATGTCGGTAATAAATTCACTCTACGCATTTACGCTTTTTCACACTTTTTTTTAATAGACAATATTTATTTCATAAATTATACAAAAATTAATTTATTATTCCAATTTATTGTACTAATAGGATGCGATCCTACTTGGCGGCGTTCCGGCGTTTATATATCTCTTCTACAAATTCTGCGAGTTCCTTTTCTTCTTGCCTCCACTAATATAGCATTCAGACCATCCGCACGCAGTCATAACAAACAACTAATTTAAGGTAGCAATGAAATCAACAGCTTTGGTGTCTTCTTGCTTAAGCTTTCTTGGTTATTTATTTCCTATTATTTTTTATTTTCCGTTTTAACATCTTACATTTTTATTTTGTATTTCTCTTTTCTTTATAAATGTGCTTTTATGCCTAAAGATCGGAAGAAACTGCATGACGCAGGCACAGTAAAAACTCTTTAACACAAGCAAAAGCATAAACCAGATTTGTATTACGGCCTAAGAGAATGCAAGCATCTATATACTACATATGTTAATGTGAAAACCTGTTAGCAGTTGGAGAAACTTTATAACCCCTGGTTCTATTATAATTACTTTAACATTATATTATTTAAACATACAAGCTGCGCTTCTTATAAAATTTTGGATCTATTTTAGTAAAACCTGTAAGTATATTCTTTTAATTTTTGTTTATGTAGAGAGTTTTTATATATAATTTTATTGTATACAATTAGACTAAATAGTATACGTTCCTTAAAAAAAGTACTTAACCCCATTTTTTATAATAAATCAGTAACTGTTGACTTCCTCTAGCTACGGTCATTGGTTCTTCGTAAGTATACAATTAAAATTTGGATAAAATTAAATTAAATAATCCTCGAAGAGCAGAATCTAGTAGTAACAACACTAATCAGAATTAAATTATAGAATCTATTTCCTATATATCATAGTTCTGTTATATAAACTCATATTACATTCGATTGGAGTAGTAATAGCTTTAGAAAAAATCAAATTATATATCTATTTTATAGATTCTAAAATTCAGTTATATTAATTTATATATTATTAAACCATTCTGCTTTAAAGTATTATTAAAGTAAAGTATTTAGTAACAGCTCTAGACAGAATCAAATTAGAAAATCTATTTGCTATATTCAAGAGATCAATTATATTATCTAATATATTAGGTCTGATCCACGAGCAACTCGTAGTAAATTTGAGTAACACTGTGTATATACAAGTGCGTTCCACCTGTAAATTTTCGAGTAAATCAGAGCTTCTGAGAGAGCGTAACAACCCTGTCAAAATTTGAAAATCCTGCACAGACTTTACTCATACATATTAGGGCTGTTCTACGAGCTTCCACGAACTGATTAACCGATTAAACTAACATAAACTATATAAAATGCGAGTTCACTGTACTAGTACTATTGCAAAGGGGAGTTGTGGGTAAATGCTGCTCTACGTTGCAGTGCTCTTCTTAGTACTAAGTTCGAAGTTAAGAGAACTGTACGCACTCTAAGCTCATGTTGGTAAGACCTAAATACGCTGACCCAAATTGCTCTGGTAGTACGGCAACTACCAGAGGAAGTTCGTTCGCTCGTTCGTTCGTTCGCTAGTTCGTTCGCTCGTTCGTTCGTTCGTTCTACAGCAGAGCTCATTTAACGCAAAATGAATAACGCAACATATTACGTTACGCGAAACTGTGCATTAATGTGCTCCAATACAATAAAGCGTTTTCCATTTCAAATCATTTTGACTGACTGCTCCGATTTGTGAATGCTAGCTAGCGTCTGACTTCAGAACAGCGGTGAAGATAATTGCAGAGTTCATTTTATTTTTATTTATTTATTCTTTATTTTTTTATTTTTTTATTTTTATTTTTTGTTTTTAGTTTTATTTTTTAATCACACCACAAAAAACTAGTCTTCTTTTGGTCACTAGGCAGGCGTCTTAGGCAGTCTTCGCATAATTCATTTTCATTTAATTTTATGACTTCAACTCTGCGAACTCTACGAACTCTGCGGAAATTAGTATCTAAGTATCTTAGGGAATGGCAGTTTTATTTCCTTTACTAATTTTGAGGTAATATACATAGACGTGCTTTTGCAATCGGTTTTGCCGTATTGTTTTCATTCTAAAAATAATGGAATGGAAAATAAAGTTTCCATAAATATGCAAAACTGTATTGGGAATTACGTTTTATTTATAATTTTAATGACTGTGAAGTGGGGATTGTTATTAAAATAAAACATTCATACTATAAGCTAAGCAAAACACCTCACTTTCCTCAGTTTCTGTTGATCCAAACGAAATTGTGTTTATTTACATCCAAGAGGAACAAACTGAAGTATAAAAGAAATTAAGTGTATAATTATGTCATAAAGACGACATTTTGGGAGCAGACCATATCTGTGCGAGATCTGCATTGGTGTGCTTGAGCCATCAAAGTGTGGAGAAAAATGTTAAAATTGGTTCACAGTTAGAGCTTCGGCACCGTTGTTCCCAATTTGGTATTGTTTTGCACACTCTTCTATGACGAACCTTTAACAAAAAATGCAAAAGACAATGGCGAATTTGTTTAAATAAATGAAAAAAATTCCAAGTCAAAGCTCACTGAAGTTTCTTTAGCACAAAATAAATTAATTTTTGAGAAAAGTAATTATTCAATAATTCTTTATGATGAGAAGCCATGCGAGTTCTTGACGAATACAAATTGAGTTAGTTTTTAAATATTTTGCATTTTTTGATGACTTTCTTGGTGTCTTGACCGCGGTGGTCCGTCGGAGCGTTTAGTCAGTGGGTCAGGTGTTTTTGTGCGAACGGATGGTATTTATGAATTGTAGTTAAGATTAGCTGTGGTTCACATACTGGACTGACAAATATAAGATGGAAAAAGGTGTCGCTAAATCGCAGTTTAAAAGAAATGTCTAATATTTTTAGAATACATTTATGTTAAAGATCTTTCGAATAGTTTTACAGTACGAACGCTATCTTTATTATCTGGAAATTTCGTTTCAATGGGTAAAACTTAAAGTAATTAACATTTTTTAATTAAAAAAATGGCTAGAATTATTTATGCATATATTTTAGAGATAACAATATATAAATATATATTCTTTTCTGTAATACGAGTCGGCAGTACCTTCTTATGTGGTTTTTTGCTGGTCATTACGGTAACACTAAAGAAAGGAAAGCGGAAGTTCGTTCTACTTATATATTGACTTGTCACTCCAATCCATGTTTTTTATAATTCATTGTTATTTTAATGTGTTCCGAAATTTTTTTTTAAGATTTTTGTGCTAATTGTATAACATTGTAATAATAATTTAAATATGGATATTATTTCAAATTGATAGGCACTATTTTAGTATTCGAAAAATCCAACAATTTTTTTGTATTGAATACTTTTCTTATTACAGTCGAAGAGGTAGGTAGTATTTGCATATAACGATAGTGTTATGATAGGTATCTATGCAAACGCATAGTTAGAGGAGGGGTTAAGTGACTGAATTAACCTAGCATATATTGATAACATTGTTGTCTGCTTTTAAAATCAACTGTATATAAGAGATCACATTTATATTTGAATATAATAGGACAGATTTAAGTTGGAATTTTATTTTTTTTAAACTATCATCAATGATCTTCATATATTTGAATCAAGTGCTCTATATATATATATCTCCCTATCTTAAAGATATGATGCTTAGGTTAGGTTAAGCATCATACCGACGATTCTAAGCGATCCACTTAGACATATAGGCCCATTGTGTTACCGAAGGGTTAGAATCACTTAGAACCTTTGGCAAAGCTTATAATGCTATTCAGAGGAAGTTCTTATAGTTCGCCAATATCCTCAAAAAAGAAAATATTAAGTATAATGTATAAAGGCGGCATCGTACATGTTGTGTAGAGAAATAAAGCAGATGGGAGGCAATTTCATCGTCCTCACCACAACTGCGGCAGGTGTCGTTGAAAGGGAGATTTAGTCCCCTACCTGAACCACAATGACCTCTAAGTAAACCTACTAGAAGATATTAGTCTCAATGGAGCATCTGAATGCCCCTTTTATTAGAGCATGGCTAAATTGCAAGTCTATCAAGATCGCGAATGGGAGGGGTGTAGTCAATGTTATTGGAGTGCCCATGGTCACTAGCCTTCCATTGTGATGTAGCTTTGAGTTTCAGAGCAGATAGACGGTGTGGTGCAGAGAGCATCACTAATGCAGAGTTCAGCTCTGCGTTGAACCCTATTAAGTACATTACAGTACGAAGATTTATTAAAAGCCGTCCACCAAACACGGTGGTGCCTTATGAAAGTATTGGCCTAATGACAGTCGTGTATAGCCATTGAAAAATACCCACCTTTTGCCAACAGCTTTCTGACATAGGAGCAACGTGAAGTTGGCTTTCTTAGCGCGCTCTAAAATATTTTTCTTTCACTGTGTTTTTTACCTAAAAAATACCTAAAAATTTTACTTCCTCAGTAAATTGTACCGCAAACCTCAAATATAGGATGGGATGACCATATGTGTTCTGGTAAATACGATTTCAGTTTTGCTGGGGTTAACCCCAAGACCACTAGTTCAATTCCATCCATTGAATGTATCAACACAAATTGATTAAAATGTACTTTTATTAAAAAATCTATCTTTCAGTATTTTCAGCAACTATTTCTAACAGCAACTAACATCTAATTCTGTTAAGGTTACAGTAATATTCGACACATATCGTGAAAAGAGTATATATAGACATAGTTGCGTTGATTGCTTAAGGGCTCTGTTTGTGGATTGAATTCAATTACTGTCGGTTTTAGTCGATTTGCATACCTAATAAAAAAATATAAATAACGAAATAAGATATTTGTAAATTTGCTATTATTGCAAATTATCCACAAAGCCGAAAAGAAGGTATAAAATTTAAGTAATAAAATCTAATCACACTTGCCTAGTCACAACATCCTCCACATAAGTAATAGAGCCCATGCTATTCCTGAGAAAAGAAAATATTTATTGAATATTTAACGAGACATT